TAAATGGTTTTATATTTTACATATACATATTGTATTTTTAGGAACAGCAGCTTGCCCAAATTCAGTTTTTCATTGTACAAATGCAGGACATAGACCAAAGGAAATCCCTTCTTCATGGGTAAATGATGGAATATGTGGTAAGTTTGAAAAATAGTCAAAATTAACATATGTACAAAGAAATATGTAAGGAATAAGTTATTTTGTTAGTGGATTTTGTATATCTGATTTTACTACTAATTTCTGAATTCTAAAGAAGGAAATATTCAAGTACAAATGAAATTTCTTGTAAAAAATATTTTTGAATAGCTGTTATTACATGCTTTTGTTAAAATATATTTTTATAACATACAAATTATATTCGAAATGGATATATAAATGTATTAGATTTTAAAATCATTGAAATTTTAATTTTCTTAATATAAATGTTACTTGTTAAATAAAACATTCATTAAATTCTCTTAAGATATTTTAAAGTTTTTGATTTTTTTAGCCACAGCATAGCAGCTCATAGAATGGCTCTAAATTTTTTTTTCAAGTATAAACTTTTAGCTCATTGCTTCACCACTCAGGAGGTCAAACCCTTTTGACTGATGCATTTGACCATGCCAAAGGTCTCATGGATTAATTTAATCTAATCCTGCCAAAAAGAATTTCAAGTGCTGTGGCTATTGAGGATTTCCTCTTGTTTTTAATAATGTTTAGTGTTTTGTTTTCCATAATTTCAGGATTGTGTATTTCTTTCATCTCTGAAACATTTGATTCATTAATGGTGTTCCATATATCTGAAAGTTGCATATGGTTTGTACTTCTAGATTGTTGTGATACGAGTGACGAATATAATAGCAGTTCTGATTGTGTAAATGATTGCATGTAAGTATATTAGATATTTTATAAGCTTTAAATGCTAGTTCAGTTGATCTAAGTGTCCGTAACTTTATATAAAAGACATAAATAGAAGCAGAATATGCTAGTTAATGTAAGTTATGTGCATGAAGAACATCAGAAAGTAATAATGTAGCACAAATTCATCATTTCTTTAGAATAAAATATAATAACTGATACAAGTCCGTGTACTTTTGCAGAGCATGGTATAATAACTTAGCTTTTATTTTATTGATATTGAGGGCATGTGAAAAAAATGGTTATATTTATTGTAAAACATAGCCTTTAAGAAAAGAAAGATAAAGATGTGGTGAAGTACTTTAAGCTTCCCTGAAAAATAGTCCAGCAATAAACTAAATTAAAAGAAACCAGGTATAAAAGGGTTAACAATCAAAATTGTGAAGATAATTGAAGTCCTGGTGGCAAATATGCATTTAAAGAAGAAGAATTAAGTAATATTAAAGTTATTTCATATTTTCACACTGTTCCTTTTACTGTATATTAATTAGTGTTAGGGTAACAAAGAATAGCAGATAAAAAGCTTTAGTGGAAAAATAACTTGATGTTTATCTAGTTATAAGAGGTTATGCAAAAGAAACACAAAAACTTTAAAAAGATGAAAATAAGTATTTTTATTCTTAATGTTTACTCTGACTTATGCAGTAAAGGCTTCATAAATTCAAAGAAAATCTTTCGTAGGAATACCTTGTTAAAGAATTTGAATCTTTATATACAACAGACTTATGTTTGCTAAAAGCTTGACATATTTTGTGATGATATATTTAATAAATTCAGAATTAAAGTATTTGTAGTTTTACACTTCCCAAGGTGGGTCAAAGTGACTCGCTTTCTTTGGAAAGAGTTAATGGCTTGGATCCGGTAAGTTATTCTGTATACAATATTACAATGTTCTAAATAGTTCCATGTGACATTTTCAATCTTCTAAACAGCTGTCAGTTAACGAACCTTTAATCAAACAGTGTTCTTTTTTTATGGTATCAGTTTTATTGAATTACTTTTCTACATTTTTTCATATTGTAGTAGTCTATCTTTATGAATCAAATATGGCTTATGGTTGGTGATACATACTTTCTTTTAAGATAATTAAAAAGCATTAGAATACCCCAATTACAAAATCTTGGATAAATAACTGTTGAATTGTAGCTTGTACATTTTCAAAATTATGAATTGTTTTGATTATTTAAAAATATCTCCAATTCTTTTGTAATGTGTCCTAATTTTTTAAGGTAACTAAAATAGTTATGGTCCTGAAATTGCAAATGAAATTGAACAGAAGACCAGAACAGGATGTGGTTTTTTAGTAGTAAAATATGAGTATGTATTATTAATGAGTGAAAAATATTACAATAATGCAAGGTATTTCATTTTAAGAGAACTTGGAAGAATAGCTAGAGAAGAAGCTAAAAGACAAAGAGAACTATTAGATAAAGGATACAACTTGCGATTAGAACTTAGTAAACAAGGAAGGGAAAAAAGAGAAGAGTATAAGGTAAGTTTTTGAGAGCTTTTCATCACTCTATGAAAATGAACACCTTGCTTTAGTCCATTATATACTGCTATTTTATCTGTATGTATTCTGGTGGCTATATATCATCTTTTATGACCTTTTGCCAAGTACACCAGTATAATCTTAACTAAAAAAAAATCCCCCCCCCCCCA